CCCAGCCCAAACTTTTCACTTTATAGATAAGGAATGAGAAATTCCAACAGCTAACTCAGCTCTAGTCTCTTAAATTTTTAGTGCCCACAACATTTTATGTTGTTGATAATGAATTTACGACATAAAATCAAGTGCACTGATACACAAGGCCAAATGTCAAAAACCTACTTTAGTTGGAGGTTGCAAAAGCTTATAGTTAATTTCCAAAGTTATTTGAGCTATAACTTCAAAATTTTCTAATAAATCCTTTAACCTAAGCAATAACCAAAAGATGTTCTAGCCTGGCCGGCGTGGCTCAGCGGTTGAGCATCGAACTATGATCCAGGAGATCAAGGTTTGATTCCTGGTCAGGGCACATGCCTGGGTTGCAGGCTCGATCCCCAGCATTGATGTTTTTCTCTCTCTCTCCCTCTCCCTTCTCTCTGAAATCAATAAAGACATTTTTTTTTTTTAAAAAAAAAAAAAGGTCTAAAATTCAGAATGACTAGTCCATGAATTTAAGACAGAAACCTAAAATAAGTGAGGGGATTTTATTTTAATTCTAGGTTTTATAAAACCATTTTTTTTAATTGGCAGTGGGCTGATTAGAGTTGGAAAGCTTTCAGGAAGCTATGAAAAGGGTTGTCAATTGAAAGGCATTCATGTCTTTTTAATTAAAATCATTGACAAAAAGAAAACAGGCAAACCAATTGTAACTACATTTCAGGTATCAATAGAGCTACAAAATAATGCTTTGAGAATAGGTGCAGTAAAATGATACACAAAAAATATCAATGGAAAGTAAAAATAGGATCTCTAAAAAATGAGAATAAACTCAGAAAAGACAGGCAAATAAAGAAATTTTCATGTTAATAATTTTGCATCTCTGTTTGCATATCTGATACTATGAAAAACACTGGCTTATTAACTTCAACTCTGTTTTACACTACTCATGTGGCTGGCAAGAGTTTTAAAACTCTCAGCAGGGCATAAATGATATAGAACAGATACAGACACATGACCCCTTTCTCTGTCTGCGCATCTATGAATACAGACAGACATATGTTGCATAAACATATACTCTTATGTTCGAAGATAGGGGAATTCTGAGTGTATTAATTTTATCTTTGAGATACTTGTGCTCATAGTTCAGAACACTGCAAAAATGGTCATTAGGAGTACGTGAAATATTCATGAAATGAGGAAAAAATCTATGGACTTAGACGAGTCATAGAATGTTTCATATTCCTGGCAAAGAAGATAATTTACTCTTAAAAATCACAAAACTACAGAACTTCTGGACTTCTCTAAATAGATACATTCTTACAACTAAATATTTGATGCCAGTTTTAATATAAATTACCACAATAAATTATAAACCATATGAATAATGTGCCTTATAGACTCACTAAACAGTATGACTTTCCACAGTATATATGATTTCAGTTAAATTAGGGAAAATAATATTTCAAATCACTTGAAATATATTTAACTTTAAAGTACTAACTATAATAAATTCTTAACTATCATATTTCCTAATTATAATCAAGATAAAAATATGTTCCTCAGGGTCACAGCATTTAGGAAAAAAGGTATAAATTTCAACAAGCATACTTATAAAAAATTGGGAGGAAACATATGATCACCTGAATATTTAAATATTGAATCCAGGGTATATTTCATTTGCTCTCTTTTCTAATTTTAAATATCAACATAGCGAGGATTCTTCTTCTTTCTAACGTTTAGAAACAAAAAATAAATTATTTAAATGTCTAATCACTACGCTGCACACCTGAAACTAATATAATATTGTATGTCAACTGTCACTAAAAATAAATTAAAATTTAAAAAAAGAGAGTATCTCTGTTTTCTTGGGCTGCTTTCTCATCAACTTAAGTATCCTCTGCTTGTGTCCAGATATTATTCAAGCCAACCTGACTTTGAAATGCAAGAAAGCAGCGCTCGCAGTTGATTTTTTTCTCACATTTTGATCTCTGGCCGTGCTACTGTTCCATGAGGTCAAAACCGCTCAAAGCTCTAACCTGAGCAGCGGTCAAACTTTCGGGCACACAATGTTCTTTGTATGAGCCCAATCAGCTGCCTTGTCATCTCAGTCGCCGTTCCTACAGCCTACTGGATTTTAACCATCAGTGGAATTTTGTTCCTTCTTTGTAGTACCAATCATTTCAAAGGATTTTTTAAAGACTGAGTATATCTATGGGGTCATTAATGAGGCTGATTTCTTTGCCCCCTCGAACATGCTGGAAGATGTGCATACAAGTGAGCTTTGCTCTTCAAAGGCACGACCTTACCCTCAACATTCTTGGAATTCTTCTTATGTAATTTTAATTTTGATCAACCTGACATTCAGGAAAGAAAATCAATGGCTTTTTTAAGTTATAAGATACTATTTCTTTGCTCACTCGATCTCCTTTTAATTCCTCTTTCCCTGGTGAGCTACATTTTTTTTCTTCCTAAAAGCTCCAAAACTCCCAGCAATGATTTAGATCGGGGCTATGCCTAATAGAAATCCATGTATCTGCTTTTGGTCTCGTATAGAATTGTACAACTGTTTGAAAATTAAAATTAATCAGAGTGAACCACAATAAGCCCTCCAGGCTCACTAAAGAGTAGGCCTTGCATATCCAGAGCGCCTTTGTTCCCCTCAAATGCTTTCACTTCCATGGCTTATTTTACCCTAATCACCTGGCACTGAGAAAACAGAGCAGACGCATGTTGTACTGTGTGCTGGGCATCATTTTATAAAGAACTGTACAAACCACAGCTGTTTTACTACAGATTTAAAGTTCAAAAATAAGAGGCTAAGTACGCTGCCCTGGGTGGTAGTCTCATAACTTCCACGCCATTAAAAATAAGGGTTCTAAATTGTTGGGGTGTTGTTTTTACTAACTAGCCTAATAAATTCGTAGCATTTTTATGAGATGTGCAGCCTCTTCAGAAAGGAGTGTCATTCCAAGAAAATGAGTATATTTCACTACTGTATCCCTAGGAAGGTCTCCATTGTCCCCATTTTCAGGCAGCATTGCGCAAGACCAAAATGTGGGAATTGGTATATATCTCGTTATCTTGCTAATTCAATGTTTTTTAAAAATATGGTCAGCAGACTGTATGAAGGACTGCATGCAGATTACTGGCCTAATGAATGGGATTTTCTGAGCACAGAGTCTAGGACTATGTATTTTAATCAGTTTCCCAGGCAATTATTATGCAGACTCAAGTTTAAAAACTACTGCATACCCGGCCAGGCCTGGCTCAGCGGTTGAGCATCAACCTAGGATCCAGGCGATCAGGGTTCGATTCCCGGTCAGGGCACATGCCCAGGTTGTGGGCTCGATCAATGACTCTCTCATCATTGATGTTTCTAACTCTCTCTCCCCCCTCCTTTCCTCTGTCTGAAATCAATAAAAACTACTGTATATTATGTAAGTGAGGGAGAACATGACCTATTGTTAAGTTATATCTTCATAAATATATTCCTTTAAAGGGATGCATTCCAAAACACCTTTCTTTATGGAATAATGTCATTCCTTTGTAACATGGTAACTAATCATTTTCCAGCACCAGTAATCTGTGGAATCAATGGATACACACCAGGGGGGGTGTAGGAGAGGGTAAAGGGGGTAAATGGTGATGGAAGGAGGCTTGATTTAGGGTGGTGAACACACAGTACAATATACAGATGATGTATAATTTTATTAACCAATGTCACCCCAATAAATTCAATAGATTAAAAATAAAATAAAAGTTTTTCAATGCCTCACATATTTATTACACAGATGCCAATGGTATCGCAACATAGCCATGGTCAGATCTCATATAATAAGAGGAATGGTGTTCTGGTAGTAAAATCACTATTAGATAAAGTAACTGCTAAAATAGTCAATGGAAAACAAATGGAATTTTTATTAGAGCCCAATGATTGCACAGGAAATTATTGCAATTTATATTCCTTCAAATTTTAAATTCTAAATATGAATTTGATTTTAAAAGGAAGCTGAACTGTGATTGAAAATCATGTATTTTGTCTGCTCATATTTTCTTAAATTGTATTTCCAGAAACAATACTTCAACCTTCATTTCTTCATCTTTCAATGAACCTTTCCTAACTGCCACTTATCAGATGTCAAATCTCTAGAAAACAAATTCTCTGCCCTGTCTCACAACAGAGGAGACATATGCCTAAAGCTATTGAATGTGGTCATTGCTGTAATAGAGATGTGTGCATGGTGCACTGAGCTATGAATTGTGACCAGTTAGTAAAAGTTGGCCTCTATAATGCAAAACAATATGACAGGTTAAATGACTGCCCATGATTCCACCATCTGACAACATCAGATAGTAAGTTTCCACTTTAAAAATATCCCCTTTTCTATAAATTACCAAAATTTTTTGAATTCTTAACATAAAAGCACATTATAACACTCCAAGTGTAACTTAGAAGTTTTCTTAATCTACAGCCAATCTGGGTTAGTATAACTAAGCCACATTCATGACTTTATGAGTCAACAATCTATGGCAGAATAGATTGTGCCACAATCAGAATAGATTGTGACAATGAACAGATTGTCACTTGCGCTAATACAAAGAGGTCTCTAGTGAAATTACAGGATCTGTACCCTAGTCTGCTCCTATCACAAACTTTCCTTGGACAATTAATTTCTTTCCTCATGGTTCTCGGAATCTATGATTTGGTGTTAGACTGAGGACACAGTTCCCTCGCAATTTCACCAGCTGCTCTAAGTCACTCAGATCCCCATTCCGCTGAAGTGGGAGGTCTTACACGCTAGCAAGAATTAGTTCAGTCAATAATCACTCACTCCTCCACCCCTCCCACACTTTCCAATATGGAAACAACCATGAGAGCCATGCTTTTATTCAGCTAAATACCTGGCAAGACTAACCCAATGGCATCCTCTGTAGGGTTATGGTATTGCTCTCTTAATGCATTAGATTTCAAAAATCTCTAGGAACACTGATGCAGGATAATGAGTATAACTAACCTGTGCGGAACTCTTTTCAAGTTTCTGGGCTAAATTATCCCAGCGCTGGGCAAAGGTGTCCAGCCATGCTTCCATCTTTTGTGTTACCAATGTATTTTTCAGTGTTGCAAGAAGATCTTGGTTAAGCGAGCGGAGTTTGTCCAGGGTTTGCTTTTTCTTTTCTAGATCTGTTTTCAAAACCTGTTAAAACGAGAGAACACGAAATAAGCCTAGGCTACATTTTATAAAGCACTACGGTTCCACCTGTTTTGCATGCATTTTCTCATTTGCATAGATTAAAAATACCGTAATCTCGCCTGCAAAGGACCAAGATCCCAGAAAAATATCAGTAGAAAATTAAAATCCCAATAATCTTCCCAGGGAGCTTGAAGATAAAAAAATAAAAGTCAGATGTAGAATGAACACCTAGTAGAGGAACTTAAAAAGCTACCTTAAAATATTTGAAGAACTGCAGAGTAAAAAAGCAGCCTTCCTCCAAAAGGCAAAAGAGCGATCAACATATGGAAATTACTTTTTAACATTTAACAGAAGAGTGAATGGCATGGCTCTTGAATGTTAGTGAATTTCCTCTTAATTTTTAGTAGAATACAAGTGAAATACCACATGCCAGGAGTACCAAAGAGAAGATGGTTAACTGAGAAGATGCGCATGGTTAAAGAGCCTTCCCATTCTGAAATGCTGTGATCAGCTGGTTAAATTTGCAATATTACTCATTTCCACAACTTTTACATTCCTTTCGTTATTTGGATATAAAGCCCTTGTGATGAAGCTTACTGACTTTTAAATAGTTTAGCATCTATTATTCCATTATTTTTGGCTCTGAACAATTACCTTCTAAAACTGACTTTTGAGTCCATTAAGTAAGTAATAGAACTAAGTAGCTGAGTATGACACAAATCCTTTGGGATGACTTTGTATGTTTTCAAAATGCGTATGTGTTTTATGAAGTAATTTTTATACCATTCTTATTTCCAAAGTTCCTGTGAGTTACGGACGATTACACAGGCCCTTTGGTTGATATGGATAAACAAAGTAGCACGTGTGAAGTCGGTAGATCAGGGCAGCTTATTCCTTCACCATATCACCCTGCACCTTGGAAAATCCATTTTCCAGCCAAATTCTAGTCCCTGACATAACTTGTAAACACAGATTTAGAGGAAAGGAAGTAAAAAAATTATTTGATGGCCCTTTACAATCCTGTCTTGGTGGTGGGAGCAAGTACAATGAACACAAATAAACTAAACTGTGAGACCCATCATTCCAAAACAAATGCAAACGTATTTAAGAACAACTAACATTACATACGGCCAAGCAACTGTCAGGAAACAGACACACCAATTGCTCATAAACTGCAGTGTCATCAACACAGAGAAATCAATGCACACCCCTGTAAGGGACACTTTAGGGATCAGATTTGGGCATGCCAAGTGCCTCGAAGGCTCTGAAATGCAGAAGGCTCTGGGGTCTCCTTCAGTGAACTCATCCTTAATCCACAATCTGCTTCTCCTGGGGTACCTTACAGTGCAGGCTTACTGGGGGCCCTTTTTAGAGAACAAATGCAAGTTCTGAAGTCCACTGCTGATTTTTCCTCAATAATTAAGTTTTTCCACTAAGTGTGAAAGACCAAAATATGAGTTAAGATAAATATAAGTTGAAGTCATATCAAATAAAACTCTTAGTAATAGAGAAGTTTGGTACATTCATTTTGTGTGTTAAATTCCCGTTTGCTTTCCTTCTATTAAGTTTAAGTGCATGCTTGGACTAGCAGTAAACCAACAGTTTATGCTCCCTGCCTAGAACTGGGACCCAAACTTGAATATCGGTATAGACTCCTCCAACTCTTTATGGTGTCTCCTTTTCTTTTATTAACTTGTGATATTTATTTATTTATTTACCCTCATCTAAGGAAATGCTTGGAGAGAGGAAGGGGAGGGAGAGAGGA